TTACTCGCCATTAAATTTATTCAGACTTAATACGAAAACAGGATTTGACAGTTTGAATGACTGCAGATATTTCAGGGTCCGCCTGAACCTTCTGTGAAGTTTTCAAAGATACATTCTCCCGGGAGAGCAGTGAAGTGTCACCTTTGCGTTGCAGTGACCTTGATGATATAGTAGAGAAACCAAACTGAAAAAAGCCAAGACTGCTAAACTGATAATCCCCTTTCCCTGCAGGGAAACTGACCAGCTGTCGGAGGGGATTGCAACAGAGCAGAGGTCCCCAGTCAATTTTCCCTGAGGGCCAAATTCTATCATCACCAACATGAAACCAAGGGCCACCAAATAACAGACGTTAAAATATGCCAATCAGGGGTGGGTCAGCGGAATGTAAGGGGTCAATCAATCCTTTCTTCCTGAGGTTTGCTTGGGCCAAACATTTCACTCACGTGGGCTGAATTGGCCCCACAGGCTGCATATTGGGGGCCCCTTCTGTAGATCTTTACCCTCTCCAAGGCCCTATAGCTGCTGCGTGCATGTCCAGGCATGTCCCAGCTCGACCTATTGACCTGTTCTCCCTATCCGGCTGTGCCAAATGGTACCAGCCCAGGATTTCTCCAAGCGGCACGCACACATGGCCTGGTCACATCCAACCCTTCTCAGTTTCGCCATGTGCCGTCTCGGTAGGGGGCCACCGTCAACGACACCACTTTGGAAACCTGAGATGGAGTCGGAGTGGGGAGGTCCCCCCTGGCTCCACGCCGGCGGTCACGCTCCTATCCTGGCTGTGCCCCCCCACCCAGCATTATATTTAGCTGGGGGTGGGAATGAGGGGAATGAGAACCTGTGATTTGTGCATCTGGGAGGCCATGGAAAATGTCCAGTCACACCTGCCCAGAACAGGTGGGTGATTTGGGAGCAAAGGAGAAAATCTGAGGACTGACACTCAGCTGGAACGACCAGTTTGTGCTGGTGTATGACCACGTTGACACTGGACTATGACTCAACCTGTAATATGAAATCATTGAGCATGTTATTGGACAAAAGTTTCTCAAGCTCATACATACTAGACTCTTTCTTTAGTGCAGGGGTGGGGAACCTGATCAATGGAGGGGTTTTTGGGATGACCTCTCAATCAGCCAATTCAGCCAGTGGTTCTTAAACCCATCCTGGGGGCCGAGTGTTATTGGGTGATTGAGAAGTCATCCCAAAAACCCGCACCCACACCGACCCTCCATTGATCAGGTTCCCCACCCCTGCATTAGTGGATACAGGCAAATAGAAAGAGCCTCCTTCATAAAGGACTGTATTTGTGATCTGCTTTTTGTGTTTAATTTGTGTGTACCAGTTGTGAACCGATGCAGGAAGGGGTTTTAGAGGATTCACACGTTTGCACGTCTCCTGCCTGGAATTTGTCTTGTATTCTTGTATTTCCACTTGATGGTGGACCAGCCAGTAGAGAAACAGAGACAAACAGCTCAACCGGCCTTCCTTCCTACTGCGCTGGGAATCCGGAAGCCAGGCTTCCGTCGGCAGGGACTGGAACAGATTTTGTACCTCCTTCCTGCACGTTTTTCACATTCTGGCAATGGATTCATGGTTATTTTGATGTCAGTCGCCATCCCAGCATCCTGTAGGGGATTGTTAGGTCTTCTCTAGCTATTGTGTAATACAATGACTGCTAATGAGCAGTATGAAAATATACAGAAATGGCTTTATGAATGTGGTTGTTGGTGGAGCAAGGTGACAGTGAGAGATGAATTAATACACCTGGAACTACGAAGTCCGGAACCCCGGAGATCTTATTTTATAAAAAATAACATACTGTGATGTTCTAGGTCATTAATAAAAAATAGAAACCAAATCAATGAGAGACTAAATGGGTTGGTTCTGTCTGTCCATCTCTCCGCATCCTTTTGGTGGAGCTGGTCCTTTTAATCTTTAATAAGCCCATTCACACCATTAATGGATGTGATGGACTCAGTGCTGTACTGCAGCCTGCCCATCCCATGTTTCCGCATTCATAAGCATGAATGGGTGCTTAATCAGTGCCATTATCCGTCAAAGCCGCAGAGGCTGAACTCAGAAACAGTGCTACATCGTGGCGTCCCGTGAAGTGTCAGTGACCTGGCCCTCTCTGTCTGTCTAAAAATAAACTCCCCCCCAAAAAATGGCATGTGACTCTAAGGGGTTCAAAGTCTGCCACTTTGTCTAGGAAAATACTCTGTGCCGGCGTCCGTCCTTTGGTGCAGTTTGCCTCTCTCTGGCGTCTGCGCTGCACCGGCTGCACCGTGTGACGCAGGCCTTGTGTGCCAGCAGCCTGTTTTGTTGCCCTTGTCCTGTCTGCCTGTCATGAGTTCAGTAGCACCTGGAACAAACAGACCAGAAAGAATTCCTCGCTGGACACGTTCCCTCCCAGAACTCCTGGAGCCTTGATGTTATTTCCGATGAATTCCCCCTGCCCCAAATCCTGCTTTACGACTTCATGCAGCCCCTAACCCCCAAAATACCCTTTATTAATGACTGGCGACACAAATTGGAGCTTTATTGGTCTACGATTCAGGTATGGAAGCTAATATCAAGCAAAGTGGAGGTAGTGTGTGTGAAGTGGCACGTACTGTGTGCGTGGATGCAGGTCAGCTGCCCAGCTTGTACCTCGTCCCGGTTGTCCCTGACATTACCGGGCTCTCTCTCTCTCTCTCTCTCTCTCTCTGGTGGCGAGTCCCACTTTATGACCACGATCAGCAGCCTGTGGGCAGGATGTACACACATATCATTTCTTATAATCTGATAATTGCAGAAAATTACTATTTTCTCACAAAAATCAGACTGACTGACCTGGCCTGAGAAAGGGCGTCAGACAGGAAGAATGTGCCCCAGAGATATTCTGGTACGCTCCGATATTGTGCTTTGTGTGACCGGCAGACTAGTCATCAGATCAGACCCCGCACAATGGGTCCATTCTTTTAGAAATCCCAGTACACATACACCATTTCGAATCTCCACCCCCTGTTGGGCATGCCAGGGTCTGCGGATTACCGGTGCGGCCCCACCACCATTCAACATCCTTCTCCCTGTCCCTTCATCCAATCAGAGACGAGAGCCCAGGGTAGCATAATGTGATACCTCCTGCGGTCCGCAGCCTAGTGCTTTTACCCGCCCAGAGAGCTCACCTTGGCCGTACGCTTAGTGAGCTTCTCGTTTCAGGGGAAACGATCCATTAGCAAGTGCTGGTCGGACCTCGCCCTCCCCCGTCCGCCAACTCGCCGTGGATCATATGATGCAGACTGTCCTCGTCCTCTTCTCCCAACAGCTCAGCGGCGGATCCGAGGGCAGTTACGAAGACAGTCCAGACGGCACCAAGAAGAAGAGGAAGCCCAAGAATTTGTAAGTCCACATTTTGGGGCGTCTTGCACATCTCCACCTAGTGGTGAACTGCTGTGAAAATTTTGGCCAATACTAATAAATAATATATTTTTCACTAATGCTACCAATACCGATAATCGATACCGACAGCTATCGTCTGAGCGCCACAAATCGGTAGTAGCAGTGATGGTGGTAACTTTATTACTTCCAACCTTATGTCTATGTGAAGCCGCCACGTTGCGTAACGCAGGCAGTGAGACACCGGTGAAGTAGCGCTGACTTGTAGCAAGGTTACGAATGAGCTGATGAAATCCCTCTTCCTCCACAATGGAATATTAACTGCTCATCCAATACAGTCACCTCCATTCTTTTAGTAGTTGTATCTTTAGCTTGGGTGCTGATAACTTTGAATATCAACCAAGATCGACACATGGGACCGATGCCAATATCTTTTCCATTTTAATGAATATCAGCTGAGTGGGACGGGGCCAGATACTAGGTCAGCATGCTAGTGAGGACAGTGTCCGGCCATGTGAATCGGCGTGCGCTGGGCGTGTAAATCTGCTGTGTCTACGCGCCGAGCCCTGGCATGCGGCTTGTCCGGAGAGAGTGCCACCGTCACCGATGGTATCTGTCTGCTGCCTCAGCTGCTTTCAATGTCACCTGTACGCCACCTGCGGGTCTGCAAATACGAGAGCATGCCGGCAGATGTGCGTCTTTTTTCTTCGGCTGTCTCGGACCGTGCAGAAATCCCTGGCGATGACGGTGTCCGTGTGACGGACCTTGGGGCATTTCAGGTTACGGATGAGTTTGGATTTCTGATGCGGTCGCCCCGGAACGCTTGGTCATGCACTGGTAATACCGTCTGCACAGAGAGCTCATCTAGAGGACGCAGAGGATCCTGATCACAGATAACTTAGGGTTCGTCCTGGGTGTGGATAGGGAGGGGGGGTCGGCAGGTGTGGATGTGTGTGTGTGTGTGAGTGTGCATGTTTGAGGGCACTGACACACAAACTTCATCAGACTCAAGTACTGAGACACGTCAGACTACGGTTTGTTTTTCCATTGGAGCTGCTTTTGACCAGCTATTGACCAGCACCTAGTCACAAGAACAACCCCCCCCCACACACACACAAACACAGGCTCCACACACCCCCTTTAGGCGGAAGCCCACCCTCGAACGTACACTCAGGCTGTCTTTGCCACGGCCCCGGCGTTAAATCAGGCGCTGCACGTCCAGTGGCTTTACTCGCCGAGCACTGGGGAGCCGTAAGGCGAAGCTGAGGAACCGGGTGGGATCCGGGTAGGAGGGGGGGGGGGCTGAGGCACGTGAGGAAGCTAAGGCAGAACTAGGAGACTGAAATGAGAGGGAGCGGAAGCCTCGTTCCTTCCCCTGCACCCTCAGCGTGACCAGCGGGTTAGTCCCAGCCCCCCCCCCCATGTCTACAGGCTGAGATACTGAATTAAGACTCCAGGGTGAAGATGTTTTCCTCACCATCATAAGTGCTGCCTCCTCCCTCCTCTCAATATCCGTGTCCTGCGTGGCCTAGAATAAGCTTGTGTTTTTTTTTTTTAAGCTAAACCAAACATCTCGTCCGGCATGATAAGGCGTGATATGGCGGTATGAGTTTCGAGTTCACAAATCTTCCTACGAGTTTCATGATGTAAATTGCCCACCATGCTGTAATGATGCTCTAGAACATTACAGAGCTACTCTGCATTTATTTTTTTTTCAAATTACTGCCTTTCGGTATACAAATACAACATAACGACAGTTTACAAGCCGTTGGGAGCTTGTTTACACGTGGGCAAAGTTCCCCGAGGCTGGAAACTCAGTGGAAGACCTGTAAATTGCAGATAAACCGACACAGGAGCCCGGCGCGGGACGTACATCCGGGGCCCTATTTAATCTGGCTCTCGGGTTCCTGCGTCAATAAAAACACCCCGACTGGCCTGCATCCTCGGGGCCGCGAGGGGTGAACGCGAGCAGCTGTAGCTTCAGCTGAGCTCAGACACGGTTGAATGAGAGACCCCCCCCCCAGTCACTACAGTGGAATTTTTCATTTGACCATTGAGTCGAGATGCAGCCCATTGTTCTTTGTCTTATTTGCGAACTTTTCCTCTTCCCTCTTTGTGCGCAGTATGCTTTAGACACTACGCAGTACGTCGTACACCTTTCTGCTTGCTGCAGAGCGCTGTAGGTTTAATGAGGGGGCGATTCTGGGTTTTTATGGTGGGAGGCAAAAGAGGAGCCTAATTCATACACAGGGGCTAACGTTACCATTAGCCAATGATGTGTTTTGAATCCATGAGTGACAGGGGAGGGGACATTCTGGGGGCCAATCAGCTTTCAGCTGGGGCCAGTGCCCCTGTATTAAAGATAATATTTACTACTGCTGCTTTATATCACTGTTCCTGTAGCTGCATGTGGTTAGCTAGCTGCAGAGGGGCTAGTCTGTGGGAGAAAATGAGTGAAGATAGATCCAATTGGACAGAAAAGATGGAAGATGGTTAAACGAGGTACAGGAGAAGAAAAGCTGAGATTTCACGGACAGATCAGAAAGCGAGCGGAATTTTTCTTCAGTGAAAACCTTTCCATGACCACATTCCCCTGACTCAGCAAGTCTTCCTGACGGGACCAGCAGCTGCGTCTGAGATCCAGATCAGCTATGTTTTGGCCATTAACCCCCACCCCCCCACCACCAGCATGATGGAAGTTCTTTGCTATTGTGAATAAAAACAAGAGGAATTACAGACCAAATCCCTGTCTAATCACCCACTGGTGTTCTGAAGCTGATCAGATTTGCCAAATATAGAAGCCCCTCCCCTAAAGCAGCCAAAAATGGAGTTTTATTTTCCTGATTTCTGGTCTGGCGTCAGTGTACACTGTGAAACTTCTCCTTCATTATCACAGTTAGTGTGAGTCACTGTGCCCGTGATCAGGAGGACACTTTGAGCACTATTTACTCTGCACAAGATTTACCTCTGTGCTGAATAGTAGTTCTCCGTGTAGTTCTGTTCTCCGTGTAGTTCTGTATTGTATTGTGTGTATTGTGTGTAGCCTGTAGTATTTTTGTTTGTTTTGCACATTGAGCCAGGAGAAACTGTTGGAGGGCACTGAGGCGAGTCTGTAAGACGCACAGGTGGAGCAGTGGGTGGAGGGCTTAGTGCGCCGTGCCCTTGAGAAGATGGGGGTGTCTCGATACCCGACAGCCAACCTGCTAAGCAGATAATAATCAAATGACAGGAATACAGGCTCCCAAACAGCGGGGGGAGGAAGTGATTCAGGTGCCCCCCAGACTCGCAAAGTATCCCCCCAGACCCCCTCCGGAGTGGAAGTGGAACGGCTGGGATCCATCATCACCTGAGTGGGGGCTTCCAGGTGTGCTGTCAGGCCCACATGGTGATAGGCAGCGGGGGGGGGTGCGCAGTGTCAGGCCCCTACAGACAAGGGAGAATTATTATGCTCCCGACAGACAAATATTTGCACACCTGTTGCTCTTTTCTGGGCCGTGAAATTGAGTAAAGCCTACGGCTTATTTTCAAGATGGCCCACCTGTTTGGAGAAACGTGAGAAATCGGACTTGTTTCCTGTACACACGGACAAAAAGCCCAAACCTTGTCTGGAGAATGCATCACTAAATAATGTCTCATCAATCATTTCTTTCTGGAATGTTCTTTTCTGTGTCCATTTTCAATAAACAAAAGTAGCTGTGCAACGGATAATAGTCTTTTTATAACGATTATTTCTGTAGCTATAATTATAATCTCACGCTCACAGAAAAGGCTTCATAGCGGCTTGTGAAATCTGGGCCGGCTGTGCTGCCTGGGAAGCCTGCAGTGTCCACGGCGCGTTCAGGAAGCACGCTGAGCCGTGACTGGAGGCTCGGGGCCCCTCCCCTGCTAGGCCACACCCCCACCATATATAATGCTGCTACAGAGCCACACAGGGGTAGGAAGGAATGTGACAGCCGCCCACACTTATGCGAGCTCTGTGTGCTGCTGCCCCCTCAGGCTCATTGATGCTACACACCATGGTCGACTTCTCCGAGAAGTATCTAGAAAGGTAGGATAGGGAGACCCTCCTCCATGCATGTGGTCAGTGGGGGGTGTTTTGGTATAGCTGAGGTTTCGGGTGCAGGGGCTGAGGTGTGTGTGTAGGGGGGGGGGTCATTCTTAGTCGAGAGTGACAGAGGACTTTCACACTTTTCCCCGTGGGTTTGGGGGAAGGGGTGTTTTGGAATTCTTGGTAAAAACTGCAGTTAATTTGGGCTATAAAGAGGCCAGGTGTAGCAGAGAGGAGCTGCAGAGTCCTGTCACTGCGTCTTCTGCAGCAGGGGCTGACGGCATCACACTGAGCACGGAGTAGCATTTCCGGCTCTCCATGTCCACTGCTCCTCGCCGTGTCCCCGCTCCGCACACCCGGCTGGAGCCTGAGCGTTTGGGCCCTGGGGCTTAGCCTCCCGGTGCAAGGTCGGAAGCCAGGCTGGTACCGTGCTGGAGAAGGTGGGGGTCACGGTGAGGCCCCCAGCCCCGTCCGACCGTACAGAAAACATCTGGCATGTGCAAGAACTGTGTCTGGTGTAGGTTCAACCAAGGATCCTTGATGCCAATAGATAACTTTGATGTCAAACTTTGCATTGGGTTGCTTGTCACAGCCCCCCCCCCCCCCAGGTAGCGGGGGGCTGCTGTTTTTTTGTTGCATGAGTCCCAGATTTTCTCTGAAATTGAAAGTGGCTGAGTTTGACGGCAGGGAACAAAAATAGAACATGGGCAGAATAGAGAAGGAGATCCGATTACGCCTGGCAGCGCGGAGGGGGCCAACAGGACATTTGGAGGAGAAGCACATGCTGCACCCCCCCCCCCCTCCAGAAACACACACACAGAGCTTTCCTTCACCTCTGGGTTACATCCTCTTGTGGGTTGCAAACCTCTCATGGGCTTGTGCTCAGGGATGCTGGTTCTCTACCCATCCATCCGTCATCTACTGCTTTGTTTGTCCATCTTGCAGGAAGGACAGGTATATAGGTAGAATTCAGCTCTTTGTGTGTGTTCGTGTGTGTGTGTGGGGGGGGGGGGGGGAGGGGGGTGTTAGAGGGCAGGGGGGCTAATCTGCACCATCTACACCCTCCTCACTGACCTTCCCACACCCAGGTCAGCTAGTATAGGGGTGTGGAGTGTGTGTGTGCATCTCTGGGGGGGGGGGGGGGGTTCATTGTCCAGCATAGGGTGCACCTGAGCACTGGTGGCAGACCTGATGTTGACCTGGACGCAAGATGGGGAGGGTCGTGTATGTTTAAGAGTCTGAATGGGCTGGCATGACTCTCAGGGCAGTGATGGATGCACTCGCGCGTCGCTAAAGATGTAGAATACGCGCAGGGTCACGTGACTCCCCAAGGACAGCTTCGGGGGGGGGGGGGGGGGGGGGGGGGGGGGGGGGCATAATCAGAGCAGGGTCCTTTTAACTCACAAGTGACAGTGTATTTCCTGTAATTCATTTCTGTTGTTATTACTTAACATACTCATTAAACATACTTAACATACTCATTAAATGTTCCAGTCTAATTCTGGAATGTCTTAATTTCTTTCTCCATGACTTGCCGGGAAAGTTGCCGTCTCTGGTGTGGATCAGCTTTTGGATCGGTGGTCTTTTCTCTGTTTATTCATGCACCTAACATTTGGCTCATGTTTGCCGCTGACCTGAAATCAGAAAATAGCATCTCTAAGAATCACAGGGGTGCAGTACTGCCATCGCACCAATGGGTGGCACTGTCGAGTTGCGTTCCGAGCACTCTCTTTTTCAGACTACGTCTGGTAGGGGGGCGTCAGAGAACGATTTCCATGCAGCCACATTCACCCACTTGAATTGAAACCAGACTCATATAATATGTTATTTTATTGTCGCCCGGCAAATATTTTCCAGAGATTAAACAGGCCTCTTTTGACATGGGGGGGAGGGGGGGGTGGGATGCTGTGGCCTCTCGCCACCCACATGACCCGCGCATCACCAAAACCTCCAAAAATAGTGATAAAATACATTCCTGCCCCCTGCTTCAATTTTATGGCTTTTAAAAAGAGTTTTTATATGTCAAATAATTATGCCTTTGTCAAAGTGTCTATGAATCGGTGACCTAAAAGTAGCATTTTCATAGGAAGCTTATGTTTTCCCAGACAGCTCCTTTGCCTCCCTCATTCAATAAAAGTTAAAACTGGGTTTTAAGGGATTCACTCCCACATTTACCCAGTAAGCCCTTTCATGCACAGTCATCGGGTGTAATAGAATCATCTGTGAATATCTGTAGAAATATTGATGGCTGAAACCGTATCTTGCTTCAAGCAAATATTTGACATTCCTTGAGGGTAACTGAAGCATGCAGTGCGTATGTCATCCCTGAGACTTTCAGGGCGTGTGCCTCGCTGACACGCGTGGCGAAGGTCCATCCATGCCATTGTGTCCGACGGCAGCCGGTTAAATCCGAGCCCGTCCTGTCGACAAAACCAGATCTTATCTGTTGTTGGTATGCGGGCCCTGCATTTGTTTATCCAGGCCAAACACTCCCTTAGAATCAGCAAATACAGTCTACGTGTTTTGTGTGCCCAAAACATGCCCTGCCGTATTTTGATAGTAAGGCCTTAGCAACACTTCCAGGAGGGCACAGGAGGAGTGGCAGAATTGGCAAAACAGCCGCACGCGGTTCAGGGAGTAGAGGGATTCGAGTCCCCGAGGCCCGAAGCTTGAAGCGTGACAAACGAAAGCCCCTATTATCCTCTGTGTCCCAGGGTCTCCTGGGTGCCCATGTTCCATCTCTCTGGGGAGATGTGTGGAGAGAGTGGGTTGGAGGCGAGATAGCCTTATGGGAAAGGGTACCGGGAATCCTCAGGAAGACTCAGGCTCAGAGAGACCATGTGGAGGATCGCGGCATCACGGCGCAGAGAGGGGAACTGGCACTCAGCTGCAGCTCCCGCCGTCATCCCGCGGGGCGATTCCCCAGGAGGCCTGACGTGAAGGAACGCTTCTCTCTCCTTTACTCCGCTCGACAGTCGCTGGCTGCCTTGCCGTGCAGGAGCTGCCGGGCCGAGAGCGGCGTTGCCGACAGCCGCAGACACGCCGCCAGGCGACGTCGCTACACTGCTCTGGGTCGGCGCAACCCTGCTGCAACACAAAATGTATGCGCCAAAGGCACCTGTGCCCCGGTGCAGCACAGACAGGATCTAAGCATCTCACAGGACCATCACATACATTTTTTATGGTTTTATTCTTTCTGAGATTATAGTCGTGGCTCGCGGCCCCCGGCGATCGATCGACACTTTTTCGCTTCAGGGGGTCCAGCTGGTGTGTTTGTCTTTCATCTCAAATTTTTTCCCTCCCTCTCTTTTCTCGTGCTCAGGGCCAAAGACATGAAGAACCGGCTGGCGTTCCTACGGAGGAAGAATGAGTCCCCCGGAAGCTGTCCGTCCGGAAAGCTGGACAAAGCCATGAAGTCAGTCAAGTGAGTGCATGCGTCCGCTTCCTGGGTGGCATGCAGCATGCAGCATGCGGCGGTGGCGGCGGGAAGCTCCGGCGGCGTTAGTGACCAGCGTCGTTTCCTGCGTGCCGCAGAACAGAACGTCTGGTTTCACTCTGACTGCAGCGTAAACCACTGCATCTGTTTGGGTGTCTTGCAAGGCGGAAAGCTCTTAAACGGATACAAGATGCAGCATTTCGGAGGGGGGGTCTTCTATGACTAAATGTTGTGATGGGGGGGGGGAGGCACAACCCACCCAAATTGTGCCTTCCACCTGTAAACTGTATGATCTATAGTGATTGGTCTTAGATTTGTGGAGATGTATGGATTCACTGGGACTTTACTAGGGTAAACATTCCCTGCCGGAGTATGTCTGTGCCAAAGCAGAGCGTTAGCCTGAATGCGGCACAGTGAGAAATCTCATTAGACAAGCCTGTGTGATGGTGCATTTCAGCCTTATGATGATGATCTCAGAAAGGCCTGATCCGATGGCATTTTAAATGCGTGAAGCTAGTGCCGATCATAGATCACGGTCTCACACACGATTAGATGCTGTGGCAGAAATCTAAAGTGGATGAAAATGAGCAGAATGAAGAAACGGGACCGTAAAGGGACGGATGTAACTCGAGGAAGTATTTCTGTTTTGGCTCAGTGAGGAGACCTGCTCTGTTCAATTGAGCCAACACATGTAGAGCAGGGGATTGAAAAAAATAGAAAAATACTGGGGGTGTGGCTTAGGGGTGAATGCAACGCCCATCAAACCTTACAAGACTGGCTTAGTCTCCTCCCCTCTCCCCTCCCCTCAGAGAACAAGCATATAAGCAAGAATCCAGCAAGGGCAGTCAGACACTCTGACACAAAAACCAGAGAGAAGTAGCATAACAGGGAAAGAGAGAGAGAGAGAGAGAGAGAGAGAGAGAGTGAGAGACAGACATAGCGTAAAAGAAGCCAGAGGCACGGCAGAGCGCTGGGCATTCAGGCAGGACGGAAGGCAGCGCACTGCTTCGAATGGGTCACACAATGAGAAACCTGGCAGAGATGGGCTTGCTGAAGAACCGTGCGGCTTTCATCTGCAGGCCCGCACCGGAGGAGGCGCAGAAGTGGGGCGAGTCTCTGGACAAGCTGCTGGCCCACAAATGTGAGTTTGCTAAAGCTTTTCCTATAAATCTCAATTCACGCTGATAAACTTGGTTATCCTGCAATGCACAGCTTGCTCAGAGGATATGCAGATTTTTGGACAGGAATGCTTTAAACGCTAGGGGCATGAAATCTCTATATATGTTTATTTGTCCATCCATCAATCCATCCATCCATCCATCTACTAACCCCTTATTCTGGTTGGAGTCTCTGGTTATTCTCTTAATAAATACATCTTTAATATCAGTAGGGTTGTTATGGAGAGCAGTATAACACTGAGAGCAGTATATTAATTTCTTTCACTGGTTTAATCCCAGTAAAGACACCCTTTTCTTGACGGCGCTGTATCTAGCCTCTGCTATTATCCATGCATGCCTTCTCTGGTCGTTTGACCGTTCGGCAGGCACTGACGTGTGGGTGCTGCAGTGGGTGAATAGTCCTCCTGTTCCCCGGTCCTCGGCCCCCGCGTTAATCTCACGCTTTAGTGCAGGGAGACGGAACGGGGGTGGAAGGGGGAAGGGAGGGGGACTGCTGCCCCGCGTTTGCACACGACCATCAAGCCTGACTGCAGACTCCCGTAGCATTGCGATGACATCGGCGGCTGCCACACGCACAGACGCGAGTGAAGCAAATATCCCGTTTCCTATAGAGCCCCCTCCCCACTCAAATCGTAGTCTGTCTTGTGAAAGGCAGTCTTTCCTTTGTAGATAGTCTTATCAGCAATCGATTTGGGGTGCGGTGGGAGACAGAAAAGTTCTGGCAGTCTGTAGGTTTCCCCCCACCCACGCACTCACTCCGAGATCCCCGGTGCCACCACATCTCCACATCGCCCCTTGCATCAGCTTGGTGCCCCTTGCATGGCTTCTATTGCTACAGAGGAAACCTGCATTTCCAACCACATCTAAAAGATGTGATGCTGTCATGTATGAATGAAACGAAATGTATTCTGGGAAATAAAAAAAAATGATGTATCTGACGTTCGATGAAGCCTTGTGCAGCATTATGATTCCATGAGCAGCTTGCGCTATTTTAGATCTTCCTTCTGCTGGGCTGTGCGACGTTACCATGGTTTCGTCATTGGTTCCCTATTAATGTCCTTTGCTCTACCCTTTCTCTGCCCTCCCCAGATGGACAGGCTGCCTTCAGAGCGTTCCTGCGCACAGAATTCAGTGAAGAGAACCTGGATTTCTGGTTAACATGCGAGGACTACAAGAAAATCAAGTCACAGTCGAAGATGGCCTCCAAAGCCAAGAAAATCTTCGCAGAATACATCGCTATCCAGTCCTGTAAAGAGGTAAACACAAGCTTGTGGTTTAACAGTGGTCATTCTTTAAAATTTTGGTTATCAGTTGGTTTGGTTTTCAATCAAAATGCCTACCATTCGGTTTAAATGTGCCTTCCAAAAATTATGAGGCATTTTCGCCACATACGCGAATCCGAATCCTTAGCCTTCAATGAACCTGCTTTTTTCCTTGTGACTTCAGGTCAACCTGGACTCTTACACACGGGAGCACACCAAGGAGAACCTGCAGACCTCGTCGCGGTCGTGCTTCGACCTGGCCCAGAAGAGGATATATGGCCTCATGGAGAAGGACTCTTACCCCCGCTTCTTGCGCTCAGAACTTTACCTGGACCTTGTGAACCAAAAGAAGTCCATGTCGACGTCATCTTCATCGTCGTAGAAAAAAAACGGACAAAATCAAGGGGACAGAGACTCAGAAAGAAAATGCAGGGGATTGAGTTCATTTAGCATTTAGTTTTGTTTCTCCATCCCGTCTACTACGACTCAAGAAGTTCGAGATGGCTTGTGAAGAAGGAATGCCACAATGTTTACACAAAGCGTGACAGAGAGTAGCCCCGTCCAGCTGGCGCGCTGGGCTGGGGTCTGGAGGGATTAACCCGGCCAGCTGGCCCGGGGTTCAGGGGGTCATGCCTCCGCCATCACTGTTAGTGGTTTTTTAAGTTCCCCCAAGTGCTGGAGAACGGACTGGGTGCTGACAGGTCCCAGAGACATGGACTGCATTACTGCTCCTTTTCCCCCCATCTGCCCCCCCCCCCTTTCATTCTCATGGATCCTGTTAAATTTTGTTGGTACGACAAAGGGGTGCATCCCCTCCCCCCCACAAACTCACACCACACACACACACACACACACACACACATTTCAGAACAATGTCCTCATCCCAGTGGTCGGCAAGGCCTTTGGATTTCTTTGTCAGCCTGTTTGTTTTTACCTCTCCTCTTTTCATTTGCCATCAAAGTTTTTCTTTGATTCCTCCCACCCTTACCATTCCATTTTTTTGGGGGGGGGGGGGATGTAGATCTTTCTCACTGCATTCATCCAATGAATAAGGCGAAAAAAGCAAGCGCTGGCAGTCTGATACGACAGAGGGGGAAACCCCCCCCCCCCCCCCTTCACCCTTCCCCATCCTCCCCCCTCCCAAACATCTTAGAAGGACCTGCTGCCCATCTCCAAAGATTGTAAAATGCTTTATTTGAGTTCTGTAGAGCCAATAACCTACTCATTGTAGCTACTCCTTGACTGGATGAGACAATATTCTCAGGACATAAAGCACTCAACTATGAAGTTTGTTATTTTCATTTTCTTTCATACATTAAAAATGTTTGTTTTTTTATCACTTCTGGGTTAAAAGCCTACACTCCACTCATATGCAGAGCAGAACAGTCGGTTGCTCTATTAATGAGAAGGCGGCGCTTTATCTGTACAGAGGTATTTATTTAGAGACCTTATTGCAGAATGCTTAACACATTGCACTCAGCTGAAACCTCCCCCCCCCCCAATCATTACCCAGCCGTAACCACATCCACTGCTGTCTGGATTTAAAGTGCAATATGTTTGTTTTCCTTTGGATAAGTTTCCGTTGTTTTCTTTTTATTTTTTTATTATGAAATGGACAACGGATTAAACTCTGTGTTACTTTTTATTTGTAAGAATTGTTACAGATTCTGCTGGTTGTCTAACTCGTTTAAATTAAGAGAGAAAGCGAAGAAGGCAAGTGTAGACCCCCTGGCAGCAGGCAGCCGGGGCTCCATGTAAATATCATTCTTAAAAAAATGAGATAGACAAAATGAAAAAAAAACAAAAAAAAACAGTTGCATTAATGTAACGTGAGAATATGGTTGTAACTATGTAAATATGAGAGAAAAAACTATAAAATAATGTGTATTGTTACAAATGAGGAGGTCAGGTTTTGCTCTTCCTGGTTATACACTGCTTGTAAGGAGTTTTATTAAATGTATTTTATCATTTTCACTGTTTACAGACCAGTGCATCTCCTACAGAATAGCAAAGTGACAGGAAAAAAAAAAAACATTTGGTGTCATCAGTGATGGAAAATAAAGGAAGCAGCTTGTATTAAAGTGACCACGTGGTTTTGTGTTTTGTTTACGGTGAATGCCATGCTTGAATTGTGCTTTCGGAACAATTTGGACCAGTAGATACATCTATCCAGCTTCCGTAACTTTATCCGGCCTGATAGATATCCTTGGGCACAAGGCTGGGGAACACCCCAGAAAGATGAATGCATTAATGAAGTAAAGAAAAGCCCAAATCTTAATGAAGCCCTATAGTTTGCCCATTCAGAATCAAATAAGCCATCTCTATGTTCTATCTATTTCTTTTGAAATAATATAAATATAGTTATGTTAAAACATGGTTTGATTGCTATTCTACAGCTGACTGTACTGTCTTTGTTAGAAGATAAGGAGGGTGGGCTGGTGTCGTCTTCAGGGTGAAGACTGGGGGGTGACGGTGTGCAGGTGGTGTAGGTTGACTGTTGGCAGTTGAAAACTGTTGCAGAGAAAAACACTTAATCTCTGTCACCAGCCACCATCTGTGTCCTTTCACAGAAAAACATCCAAAAACTAATGAACAAAATTATTTCCTTCCATGTTTTTCACCATTCTGCTCCCTTTACTCTCATCCCTGTTGATCTTTCTCTTTTTGCCTGAAAAATGGGGGCAGAAAAGTGGAAGAGTTTTTCTTAAGACCCACACCCACGGCGCCCCAGACTAAGTGTGAGTGCCATTGGTCACTTGTGCACAGTTGCATAACGATGACCTCGATGACAGCGTCCATTAGCCGTCTCTCCATCTTACAATCATTTTTCAGTCCTCTTTAATCATTGATGTCCAGCTGTTCCTTTCGAATTAAATTTTAATTGGATTTTATTTTTATGAGCTTGTCAGGTCGCACTTGTAAACTTTCCTCGCAGATGCGACAGGGATGACGAAACCGTGACCCTTTTCCTCGAAACCGGTCCGAAGTACGCCGCTCCAAACGGCGTGCTGGGACACGTGAACATAAACAGCACAAAGTTTAAAAACACATAAATTCCACTGGTTTATGGGGCTCGCTGTTGGCGAAATTTGTAGATGGATACAATGTGAAAATGTAACCGTAATTTGGAAATGTGAAAATTCCCTAATTTAGCTACATAAAACGAACAGCGAAAATGTTAGCTAAATGCTCTTTTAGGGGAGGGTTATTTTGATAAATACCTCTTAATTGCAAATCCCTTCATACACAAGTTTTCACACTTTCCCTCATGAAGGATAATCAGCTGAGGGTCATGCCTGCAAGAAGGCAGGGTGGGTGTTGCTGGCGTGGCAGTGGGGGGCGGGGGGGACATGGAAGCCAGACATCCCTCGTTAATTAACCCGACGCTCATCCTACACGCTCGCTGCTGATGCAGTCACCGGGATTCCCTCTTTGGTCAGCGGCAGGCTCAAGCAACGTCAGTGCTGGGGGGTGGAGGCAGAGATGTTGGACGGGTTTCCAGAGTGGGTGGAACAGGGGTGGCATGCCAAGTGAGACAGTGATCATGATCGGCATGGCAACAGGGTGGCGGGGGAAGGGAGATCAGAGACAGATGACCTTTCACAAAAACCTACCTGCCCCACAATAACCCTCTCTGCCCCCACCTCCCCCCACCACTCAGGATCCTCAGAGAACGTCCATGATCTTTACCTCCGGTCCTCTTAATCCCTGTTTATAGCGTCTTACCGTTTACCGATGGAAACCAATATGAGACAAAAGGGCCTAAATTCTTAAATCATACCCCACAACTATCACACACTTTGAAGGCACCTTACTTAATAGATATTTATCATGCACCTTGTTTTCATCTATTAAAGTTTATTTAACATCACAGTAAAATCCTGACTGCATCTTCCATATTACTGTCATAGTCTTGCCTGTTGTTTTTAAACCTTGACCAGCACGGTTACCAGTTTTGGTCGGCTGGCTGGCGTGAGATTTTCAATTCAAGTCTGCACACGCATGCACACGCATTTACATGCATGTAACAGTTTTGTCATCTACAGACGTACTTCTGTACGTATGCAAATGGGAAATAAAACTTATTTTGAATTCGGCAAACTCTGCCGTTTGTTTTTCGGCTCAGCTCGTCCGCCTCTTCTTCGCTGCCATTTTTGCGTGGCTCCATCAGTCTGTCACCAGCTGTAGCACCAGCTGGTCCTTGCATCCTCCTCTCTTCTGCTGATTCTGTTTCTCTTCTGCTGGCCAGGTTTCTACAGTAACACAGGCGGGAAAAATGAGAGGCATCCTCCCTGCCCGGGCACTAATCCCCCTCTACCTCAGACGGGCACTTAGTGGTCGGCGTGTTTACCAACCCCAGCGACATACGTATAAGGAGTGCCAAGCCGGGGATCTGGCAGTTGTGCAGTTTTACTGCAAATACCCCCCGGCACTTTAATCCCACTACCGGGAAACCTCATTCCAAGAAAGTGGTCATCTCTTAAATGAGATGAGCTTTATGGCATAGATAGAGGTCTGCGCATTTAACAGACACCAACATTGAACATGTGTCATCTACTTATATAATATCTACCATTACCCAGCATTTTCTATGCATAATATATATACATATGTCGATACACAGTAAGCATGGATGCATGGATGTTTTAAATTCATCCACGCATTGCATGTAATGGTTGTCCAATCCATCACAACCATACACTATGAGCAATTTAGGGTTAATAATCCACCTCCAGTACCCTGAACCGGGGGTGCAGTAGGGGCATGCTCACCCTTGCAGATTCAAGCTGCCCTCCGCTCAGCAAAATAAACTGAGAGGGACAGTGCCAGCCCAAGTGGGGGACCCAGAATTCCTACCTATACATCTGCCCGGAGGTAACAAGAATCACATGAAAACTCAACACACATGGTTCCAAGGGTCTGTTCTGAGTTCAGGGCTTCCTGAAATAGCTTACAAGTGCATCAGGTCTTAAGGCTTTCTTTAGTGGGATGTCTAGTCATACTTGTAATTACAAACCAAGGTCAACTCCTTTTTGGCATGCTAATCGTAAACATGTATTCTGAGCACTGATAGAGCTCCCTGCTGATTTTTTCATGCTCTGGAGCAACAAGGATGCAGGTAACAGATCTGACAGTGCTGCAGGAGACATACGGGAAAGTTTGGACATTCAGCGAAGGCTACAAAAAAGTTCATAGCTGGCAGAAGGGCTATCCTGAAAAACAACATGCATTCATTTGTACTTGATTTTTTGTAAAGCTGCATTTCAAGCTATTTAAATTTGGCTTAATGTCAGCAGTGAGCTGGTTTTTCTGTTTCAAGTGGCTTCTGTAAATTGGAATGACTCCCAACTCCTTTCAAAGGGTCACTCCTACATTTGCACTGTCTCATACTGACAGCTAGGGGTTTATTTCAGTCCTCCTCTGTGATGATCATATTGAGGTCTTGGTCGTGAGTCCTAAAAATTGAGTTTAACTGTATTTAAAATTTAGAAAGTCAAGAACTCCACCTGGCTTCTATGAAACAGGAATCTTGGCAACGGGGGAAAAAATCATTTGTGGCCTTTTACGTCAGTATATCTGTGGCGTATGGCTGTAAATAAGGAATCTTGAAACTGTAGTTGATCTCAAAGTCTATTATGAAAGAATGATGACCTGAGCAGAACCAGGAAGGCAGGTAGTAGAGTAGCGAACAGCTTACAGCAACGCAGTGAATTCTGAGAAATTTGGGAGTTTGTCTCCCTCAGGGATTTACCGAAAGTTCCATACCAAGGATTAAAAAGATCTGCTTATGAATCCAGCTCGTAAAGCTTGAATGACTCAATACTGTTAGGAATGGCAAAGAAACCAGATCAAAATTGAGTTTTTGGCCACGGTTAGTTTATACCTATGTGGCACAACCCTCAGAGTTGACATCCATTAACATGCTCCTGGGCCCACATTCTTCCATCTACCAGTGATGGACGATCATTACCTCTCAGATGATGGCAGCGAGGGATCCGGCAGAGCAGTGGCGAGGGGAAGGCGTCACAGAGGCTGTACCACAAAACCGGGCCCAAGCAACATCCAAGAAAAAGCTAGAAGACACAGCAGATCAGCATGCGCCAGGACAGGAATCTAAACAATGGTAGTTAGGTGATCACTAGGAATTGAGCCAATCTTTGGAAATTCCAGGAATTCTTCTGGGAGGGCTGCCCCTAGAGTGTAAGGAATGGGGCACGTCACGCCAGCTTCACGAAGGCGCGACTTATTCCGAGGAAATACAGGCCGTATCGGAGCCGGCGTGGCTGCACGGCCGCTCCTTCTCCAGCCCGTGGCATGGCAGCAGGAGGAGGAATGGGACCCCGGCCAAGTTTCAGTTCCCCAGGCCAATTCTGTTACGGCGCGTGGCTACTCCTCAAAAGTATGGTTAAAGAAAGCCCACCTGGCATTGTTTCCATGAGGCCATGCTGAGCACGAGGGTGTGAAGTCAGGGCGGGGGGAGGTTGAATGCGTGGGAGAGACACTATGGGTTTCACAGAGAAGCTGACTGCTAATGACTCACGCGGATGTCCTGTCACCGCTAGCTGATAAGCCCACTTCCCTTTTGGGCCACGCTGTAGATCTCCTGCCTCAGATAAGCACGACAGGGGGCTACAGAACCCTCGGGATTAGGACTCCCCATTTCCGCCAATTTGTCTGCTATGACTGGCCATACTTCCTCGAGCTTGACGGCATCAAGTAGCGGGCCCAAATTCACATGGGTCTCCACTTGCCGGGGCGGAGGTCTTCCTGTCTGATGTGAAACCAAGCTTCCTCCTCTCAGATCTATGCTGTAGCACGCGGCCGACTTGGCAAAGAAACCGCAAATGGCAGGCCTTAAAGACACAAGAGATGAGCCTTCAAAGCTCATGACATGTGGGATTACCATGCTCTGTTAACCACCAGCTGATTTATCCCACTTCCCATTAGTCACTTTTGGTTCCCTGTGGGGTAAACCAGTTAGTGTTTAATGGCTCACAGTGATTCCAACCAATGTGGCCATGGAAGCCCAATGCTAATGCTTCTCATCTCTGTGGGGTACAGTCTTCAGTAATTATGACCTGGGT